AAGGAAGGAAGGGAGAAAAGAAGGAAGGAGGGAGGGAGGGAGGAAGGAAGGAAGGAAGGAAGGAAGGGAGGAAGGGAGGAAGGAAGGAAGGGAGGAAGGGAGGAAGGAAGGAAGGAAGGAAGGAAGGAAGGAAGGAAGGAAGGAAGGAAGGGAGGAAGGAAGGAAGGAAGGAAGGGAGAAAAGAAGGAAGGAGGGAGGGAGGAAGGGAGGAAGGAAGGGAGAGACAGAAAGAAAGAAAGCTCATCAGATATATATATTTCAGAAGGAAATTATGTGCACAGCAAGTGAGTGCATGAAATGGTGCTCGATATTACTATTCCTCACAAGGAAACATAAAATCAGAGCAAGATAACATTGTATACCAATTAGAATATAGTAAATATAAAAGATTGACAATACAAGTATTGATCCAGACACAGAACAACTAGAAAATTCACATTTTTTGGGTAAAGGTGTAAATGGTACAGTCTTGAAAGCAGTTTCATGAAAGGTTAAGCAACTTCATGTGACCCAGCAATTTCATTCCTAGTTATTACCCAGGATAAATGAAAAAACTTAAATTCCTAGAAAAACTTGTGCAACCCATATTATTCATAATTGTTCCAAACTGGGACTAACCCAAATTTCTATCAGTCAGTAAATGGATGAACAAATTTAAGAATGTCCTACATAAAATAGTAATCAGCATGAAAAATAAACAAACTGTTGATTCATAGCACTGATGTATCTCAAATGCATTATATGGAGTGAGATTACGCACTGTGATTCCATTCATGGGACTATTTTGAAAAGATCAAACCAGGAAAACAGAAAGCAGAAGAGTAGGGGATGGGAGTGCAAGGGCACATGAGGGGACACTGTCAAGGTTCTATGTCTTCACTCACATTGGGATTATACAATTCTTTCCCATGAACTCCACATGTGATATTTTTTTCTGAAAAAAAAAGTTAAATTTCAATAAAGCAGACATCAGAAACCTTCACTATTATTCATTGCAGCTCTTAGTACAATAGCTAAGACATGGAATCAATCTAAGCATTCAAAAACAGATGAACAGATTATGAAGATGTGATATATATATATTATATATACATATCCACATATGCGTATGCAGCTTCAAGGACCAATATCATACAGTTTTCCACAATTTGGTTGGAACTGGAAGATCTGATGCTCAAGGAAGTAAGTCAAAAGAAATAGACAAACACGGGTTGCAGATAGAATAAGTGGACAAAAAATATGTAAAAGGGTGGATGCCTAGATCATTCTTGATCCCAGAGTAGAGGCAGGACAGAGAAGAAAAGAAATTGTGGGGATAAGGGGCAGGATGAGAATGGGAAGTAATGCAGAAATAAGGGTTAGGGTCCTGGGTTTACTTGTAATGTAGGAGAGTGGTATTCAAATATATAGAAAAGCACTTGCTCAACAACACTGTAATCTACAACCACCAAACTTTGAAATGTGCCTGTCAAGGTGGCAGGCAGGGTTGGGGGTGAGATGGGGTAGGGGTAAAGGAGGCTTGCTGGGGACAGAGTGGAGACAGGACAGTACATGGAAACTCTGGTGGAGGGAAGGTGACACTGGTGGTGTGATTGGTGTTGGTATATTGTATGCCTAAAACTCATCTATCAATAACTTTGTAAATCATGGCTTTTAAATTAAATTAAAAATAAATAAGAAGGAAAAAATCCAGAAACCTTCAGGGAGTTCCTGTTTCGAGTTGTAAAGTCATTTTGATTTAAGGTACTGAAGTAAGAAGTGAGTTTATATTAAAACATTGTAAGAAAATATATTTCTACGGACATCTAAAATAAGAGCTGAGTACCATGGGTACAGGGCACAAAGGGAGAAAGGGCACTAACTTGTGCCTTCCTCCAATGTCAGTATTCACAGCTGATCTGACTCTATCCAGATGCTCCCTCCAGTACTTCTGAATCCCAGATGCATGCATCGCTTTGTTCATCCTTCTAATTCCAGTGAGAATCCTTGGGTTATGTGTTAGCCACCACTAGAAATCAAATAGTATGTGGGAACCAAGAAAGCTGATTGTTGGTGAACTATAAGAACTTGTACTTTGCTGAGCATCAGGAGGGACTGATATATCACTATGGGATAAATAAAAAAGTATGAGCATGTTAAGTAGTTCCTCCTGACCACCCCAGTTTGACTTTTGTTACTTTTCTTCCTAATGCCACCATGTCCTTCTGCCTCAAGTCTCAGCCCACCAACCTAGGAAGAAACCCAACTACTTAATGTATCAATTCTTTACTGGCTGACTGAGATACACACTTTTCCTTTAGGTACCAATGGGCTGAGCATACTATCTACAGTAGGTGTGCCAGAACTCTGCTTGCCACCACCAGGAAGCCTTTCCCCAAACACTCGAGGCTTCCCTGCCTTTGTACTTCAGGGAAGCTTGTGTTTTTCTTCTTCGAGCAATTCTCCAAAGAATTGCAGTGATTGGAAAGCTTAATGTGTGCTGTGCATAGTAAGCCAGTCTGTTCTTGTAATTGTAAATATTTCTGGGTGGATCAACTCTGCTGATGATTGTGAACTCGGGGATCTGCAGTTCAGACAGCCTCTAGGGTTCAATGAGGTTTATGATCATACCAGGACTACAGATCAATCCTGCTACCAACTGAGGGGTAGTTGGGTGGTCCTCAGTGCTACAGACCACTGGTCTGTATTTGCCCTTTGATTCCCACGTGAAGAGATGCATGCTGGGCCAGACAGTGACACTGGCCTTGGTTACGGAAGAAGTGCGAGCAACTTCCCTCTTGTCAGGGCAGTTCATTCTCCACCTCCTTTACTTTGCTCTTCATTCCGTTGTCATGGCTGAGGCAAGAGTCGAGGCAGTATCCAGAACTGTACGTTTCTCCTACTGATAAACTGATAACTTTTATTATCACTGGATAATAGTGAATAATTGTTACATAGCTATAACCTGAGTTTTTTGGGGGTCAATTTCTCTGTGGGGCTTGGTCCTATGGCAATGGAGTCTGGCTAGAGGCATGGTAGTGACTCCTGAGTGTTCCCTGATAACTTCTTATTGAGGGCTTCTTGGTGTAAGATACTCCCTCCACTGAGCAACAAGTTGCCTTTTCTACACACTTGCAGTTCACTGAGGAGGCAGAAATTAATCATTAGTAATTATAGTAAAGTCAATTAATTTCCTTAAAATGTTTAAAATTAAATTTTATTTATTATTATTTTGGGACCACACCAGCAGTGCTAAAGGCTTGCTTCTGGCTCTGTGTTCAAGCATCACTCTTGATAGTGCTTGGGGGACTATACACAGTACCCGGAATGCAGCCCAGGTCAGGGGCTTTACCTGATACCATGCTATCTCTCTGGTCCCAACTGGCTTCTCTTCTTTCAGCTGAAGAAACCACCTAATGCCCATTATGTTTGGATAATTGAATTACTTACTATCGCAAATCCTTATGTCTTATCCTGACACTGACCCAGCCAGTAAGTACACTGCCCTTCCATTAAGTGCCTGAACACAAAATCATTAAGCCTTACCCTGACAGGCTGTGTTCTCCAGTAATCAAATACTGCACAGTGGCATTTCACCGAGGGTTCTGGCCTGTTCAAAGGGAGCAGGAGGGCAGTGGGCATGTGGAATTCCAAGCAGGGGAAGGCACTGCACACAGGACTGACTCTGCCAGGGTCACAGTGCACGGGACAGCTGCAGCTTCCACAGTCACAGAATGACACATTCATGAACTTGAACTGTCAAGCGGCCCCAGACAAGCCTGCCAGAGAGGAGGGGCATGCAGAGATGTCTCTGGAGAGCCAGAAATGTGGGGTGAAGGCCTGTCACAAGAATTCTGGGTTTTGATGTCAGCATGCAAACAGTTGGGGCCATTTATTGTGCTCCCTTCTCAGGGAACAGTAATGTTTGAAAGCCCACATTTTGAGACTGCTACATGTAACTACTGACCTTAGATGGAATCTGGTGATAGAAGGGAAATACCATAAAGGATCTTATTAACGGACCAATCTGCAATGTAATTTTAAGAATTTGTAAGTATACTTTGTTATATAATACTCCTATCTCAGGAAAGATGTACCAATGTATTAGAAGCAAGGACAAAGCATTTCAATGACTGTGTATAAATGTTTTTCGAACACCTACAGAAAACACCTGTCATTTGGGTTTTCTGGTTTGTGCAGGTGTTTATTGGTAAGGGCAGACTTCAACAATATTGACTAAAATTCAGCTTGCCTTATTTTATTTTCTCTAGTCCTTTGTCTCAACAGGAGTTCTTTGTGATATTTCCCCCTCTCCTCCCCCCATGATGGGTCAAGTCATTCTTTAAATTCTCGTCTTATGGTTTCATGAGCTTGGACCAGCTGAGACTATTTCAGTTACAAGACAGGATAACCTTTCATTGATTGCATCTGTCCGAAGTGGGAGCGCCAGAGCCATGAAACGACCTAAAACGGACATTGGCACAATAGCTAGGCATGAGTCCTCCCCTGCACTTTCCGGCGAAGTTCTCCCAGCTGGACTGGACTTGGTGTGCAGCAGGGCTGTGAGCACCAGCTCCAGAGTTAGGCGAACGCATCCCCCGCCCACAATGGCCAGAAGGAGAATCACTTGTCACTTCTGACTTCACTGTTCTTGCATTAATGTCACAATCTTGATGGTAGGCACGCTGCGCACACACACAGACACACAGACACACAGACGTAATCATGCACTTGCGGGTTCCTAGCCTCAGTCCCGCTCCGTCCCGCGGCCGGCCTTGCTGCAGCCCCGGGCCCGGCGCTCCTGCCGGCTCCCCTGCCCGTGCCGAGCGGAGCGGCGCGGGGGGCGCGGGGGGCGCGGGCGGCCGGCGCGGGAGGGCGGGCAGGCCGCGGCCCCGTCCGGGTCCGGGCGCTGGGCTCGCGCCCTTCCGGACGGCGGCTCGGGCCGCCACGCCCTGCGCCGGGCCGGGCGCGGGGGAGGAGCGGCCGCGGCGGGCGGGCGGGGCCGGCGCCGTTAAAGCCCCTCGCGGGGGCGGGGAGCCGAGAGGCCGCGGCCGGGCTGGGCGCTCGGAGGCCGCCCCCGCGCCCCGACTCAGCGCAGCGACGCCCGCGCCTGCCCCGGCTGCGCTGACTGTCGCCGAGTGTCGCCAGCGGCCACGCGGAGGCGGCCGGGAGCGGCCCGCGGCAGGTACGGCCCGGCGGGGCGGGCGGGCGGGCGGCGGCCGCGGCATTGTGTGCCCGGCCGGGATGCGGGCGCGGGCGCGGCGCGGCGCGGCGCGGGGCGGAAGGGCGGCGCCTCCCCCGCGGCTCCGGGGCGGGACGGCCGCGCTCCCGCGGGACGGCTGAGCTTCCCCCCGGGACGGCCGCGCTGCACCCCCGGGACTGAGGCCTGGGGCCGGGCGCCCCTGCAGCTCGGCTCCGCGGGGCACCGGGCAGGACGCGCCCAGAGCCCAGCGTGGCTCCGTGTGGGACCCGCCTGGCTCGGGTTCTGCTGCCTGCTGACTCGGTTCCCCGCGGCAGGGGGCCCGGCACCAAGTTGAGGGGGCGAGGGCTCCCCGCCCAGCCTGCCAGCCGGCGACGGTGATAAGAAACAGACGGTTCACGGAAGGAGGTTTCTGATGCAACTCTCTGCCTTTGCTGATCCTCTCTAAAAGCCTGCCCGCTAAGGCCCCGGGCGCGTGCATTATGGAAATTAGGGTATTCTTTACTTTTCTCCTTTTCCCGTCGCCTTTGTCCTTTGCCTCGACCTGACCGTTAGCTAAAAGTAGGGGAGCCACAGGTGACTTTTCCGCAGGCCTGGATCTTTAGGATGATGCATCTGAAAGAATTGTTAAATGTTATACTCTTTTTCATTGAAGAGATGCAGAGAAAAAGACCAAAATAAGTAGCGCTTGTGAGTGAGTAAATATGCGTTATTGCACAACTTTCTCTTTGCTGCTGTTTAAAAGGCCAGGCCCAGAACACTTTGTTTCTGAAATTGCTGATTCAGCTGTTTGCAGCCCCTGAGTTTCAAAAAATGGTGCTCCATTTAACTTTTACTTCGGTTTACTAAGAACATATGTTGTCGGCACAGCAACAGGCGTTGCTGAGGGTTTAAGCACAAAACTGGCAGCTTCTCGAAAGAGGTGAGCTGGAGTCCTCTTCTTTCTTTCCAGGAAGAAAAAAAATAGGTGGACTTGGTGGTGATGAAGTCTTTTAAGGAAGTATTTCGTTAAAGAAAAGCCCTGAAACCAAATAGGTTTCCAGGAATGATTCCGAGGATGAGATTATTCTGCTCAGAAATCAAAACTCTAAGATTACTGCATAGAGTATTTGAGCATTATTGGGAGTATTTGAAAGAGCCGTGCTGAACCTGGCCAATCCCCAGAGCATAGGGAGGGAGCAGACCGTTAGTGCCCAGCAGAGTGCCTTTGTCACTGAGAAGTGTAGCGCTAGAGGCATGTTGGGAAACCTGACTGCCTGTCATCTTCTGCAGCTCCCCTGAAAGGCAAGGCCCAGGAGGTGAGTTGGCATGCCTGGAGTCAGCAGATGACAGAGTTGTCCTGAGTGCCTCAACTTGACCGCTCTCCCACCCATATGCTTTATGGTTTTGCGCAAGAACATCTTGCTCTGAAAGGGAAATGATCTGGGGCGAGTTCCTGTGCCCTCACTCACCAGGAGAGCCAAGAGGCTTGTTGGGCATCCCTTAACCTGGTGGCCCCCAGCCATCCAGGCCCCTGCAGTTCATTATCAGAATTTTCTCTCAGTTATCTTATACTTCATGGCACATTTGTTTGGGGAGAAATCATTTGTGGCATTGAATATGCTGTTTCAACGAATCCATCCATACCTTTCATGTTATTCTTAGCTATTGAAATATGGGAGATTTTGAAAGAAATAAAGATGGGTATTGCCCTGGGTTGTGCTGTGTGGGGGCAGCAGTGGACTGGCAAAATGCCTTTGTGTTAACCAGGAAGCCAGACCTTCTGTAATTTTATGGCAGCGATTTCTCCAGGGCTTTGTGTGGTAGTGGCCCTGGGGTTGGAACCCACGGCAGCTTTGGCTATAACAATGATAATTGATATGTCCTATCAGCCTACTATAGGAGAGAAGAGCAAAGACAGAATCAAGATACTAAACTCGACTTTTTTTTTTTTATTTATTGAATCACTGTGGGAAAGGTTACAAAGCTTTCAGGTTTAGGTCTCAGTCATGCAAATATCAAACACATTTCCTTTTACCAATACTTATTTTTTACCATGAAGAACCCCCAAAAAAACCCACCCCCCACCCCTCCCCGTCCCTGTGAGGCAGATGAATTCTAGTTAACACTCTATCTGCTTTGATTAGATTCATTGTTTCAATAAAAGATTCACCACTATTATTTAGAGTTTACCCCCCCCCAAATCAGACACGCTGAAAAAGCATTGTGAAGTGATTTGCTTTCTACAGCTGGGTTCAAGAATTAAATGTTGGTTTTGGATTTCTGCTATTTTACCTATTGACCCTGGAAGTATTTCTACTGAAAGTCAGATAGTTAAGAAATTGGTTTCTGTGTTCTGGAGTCGTGGCCGTGCTGGAGAGCCGCTCGTGGGGGGCAACTGGTGGCCTCGGTAGGGCGTGAAGGGCGGACCGAAACGCCCCCCTTCCCATGAGGTTTTAGTCGCCCCCACACTCGACTTTTGATTTTGATGATTGGACTGATCTGAGATCTTTTAACATATAGATACCAAACTCCTGTTTGAACAAAGACATCTCTTGTGTCTTCAGTTTCATCTTAGAGCTCTAGTAATTCTGGGTTGGTATATCTCGTAAAGCCTAGTGAGTTAAAGGTGACGTAATTTAAGGGCCCTATTTCTTCCTATATTAAACCACAGAGGAAGCTCAGTGGCACAGTGACATTGTATACTAGAGGTCTGCTTTTCAAACTCACAGCTGACTGCAGTGGTTTTGTCCCATTTGGGACCTTGAGCATTTTACAGTTTTAGACTAATGCAGAATTGTTTAGGCTCTCCAAGAGAAAATATTTGCTTGTAAGTAAGCAATCATATGTTAAAAAAATTTTTTTGGGTCACACCCAGCAATGCACAGGGGTTACTCCTGGCTCTGCACTCAGGAATCACTCCTGGTGGTGCTTGGGGGACCATATGGGATGCCGGGAATTGAACCCGGGTCAGCCACGTACAAGGCAAGTGCGCTCCCCGCTGTATTATCGCTCCAGCCCCATATGTTCAAAATTTAAATAAAACTTTTATAGGCATATTTCAAAATGATCTCTAATGAAAAATATAACTAGGTATAGGAGATTATGAAGGAAGTAAAGGTGGTCATCTCCTTAGTAGGTGTGGTCTACTGGACGCTTTAAGCCATAGGAGGAAACCTTATATCGGGTCTGTATGCTCACAGACCTATGGGTGCATGATTGATCTTATGTCCCAGACCACTGCTGTTGCATTGGTGTTTGGAGTGGCATATTTCTGGGCAGTTGTGTCTGTCTGCTTCCCTCTCCCTTATGGCTGGGATTTGCTTCTGGACAGGTCCCTGAGGAATAGACTTTGTCTTGTTCCTGGAGGTCACCAGGGTGGTTATGAAAGTTTAAAGCAGGTAAAGCTTCATGTCTCCAAGCTTGACAGCTCTTCCCTAATAAGGGAAGGTGAAAGCTGGGGCTGCCTTTGAGATGGTAACAAAATCAGCCATGTCATCACTTACCCCAAATCTCTCCCATGGCAGACATGAGTGATTCTGACTTTTCTCCTGGAAGGACGTTTGTCTGTGTGAATATTTTTTTTTTTTTTGGCTGTGGGAAGAGATCGGGTATGAGGAAGGGTGAGGCCTTCCTAGCCTCTGTAGATTCTCTCCATCTCTGAAAGCTGGGGATGGCTTCCCTGATCCTCAGCCTAGCTTCAGGGTTCCTGACGGAAGCATCTGGGACAAAGTGCATTGGTCATGAGTAAATGTCACTGGAAAACCTAGAGCCTTCGTATTTTCAGTCATTGAGTTTACATACAGATTTAGGGAAGAGTTTTCTTGATTGCCCTTATCCTTAATTTGAGGATTTTGTTATTTTGATGGAACCATCCAAATTCAACTGTGATTGGTTGGCATTCATTGTGAGAGTGGGTGCTGGGCAGGAACTCTTACCTGGCATTCTGCTCCCTTCATTTTGATTTTGTTTTTTCACACCACGGCAGTGGTCATTACTGATTATTCCAATGAAGCAGAACCCCTGGTTGTGCCATGACATATTCAGTATGCCTGCTGGGTTAACCAAGCTCATCAGTAAAGTGTGGGTCAAAGGGGCGTTGCCCTTAGCTGAGAAATTGATGCTTTGGAGTTCTATGAACCTTGGCACAGAGGATGGCACTTGGGGGTAGCTCAAAGACTCTGCCTCCCGTAGTGTCTGAGTGTAAGCTGTGTGCTTGCTTATCCTGCTTTCTAGAGTTCTTTAATGGGGGTCCCTGCTCTTTCATATTTTGCCTATGCATGCATTGTGTCAGTTGTGTAAAACTCTAATTGGCCGTAACTTTCTCACACAAGTCTCTGAGTGAGAAGCCTCCTCACCAGTGTGTGGCCAACAGAGGAGTTTGGTGTTCCTCCAAGGTTGCATTTGGAGAGCAAAGATAGATACTGTTCCAGGCTGCAAATCAGTGAGTCACATGGTAATGAACAGCAGGGATCAGAAATTGGTTTCTGGTCAAAAAGACCAAGAGCCAGGAGGCCTGTGTGCGACTTCGTGCTGCGTTTACAGGAACTCCGGATCTTAAGAGCAGATCAGTGTGTAAGTTCTTCAGGCCTCTGAGAGTAGTCGGTTTCTGGAGGTTACAGATGCTTCTGGCTGGATTGAACTGAGGTGGACAGCTGGTTTTGACAGTCTGAGGTGGCTCTGATGGGCCTTCTGCTTCTCTCTGAAGTCCTTTGGAATTTCCTGCCACATCTGCACATCTTACCTGGTAAGGTGGACTCAAAAAGCACTCCATGTGGTCCCTTGGCATTGTATCAATATTGTCTCTGCAACTCAAAAAGAACTTGGCAGCTGAGACCTTCATCTGTCTTTCACTACAAATAGAACAACTAATTTGGTGTCACTCAGGGAGATCAGTGGGACTGTCTGAAAAAGTCCATGAAGAGTAACTGAAGATATCCTGTGAAACCCTTCCCTTATTCTGTCATGTGGGAGTCAACAGCAACCACTGCCAAACTCACTCATTC